CGATAGAATTTTCCTAACACGTCGCTCCGGGTTTCATGTTAATAAGATGGGCCAGTTGACCGCGAAACTCGGCCGTCCCCGGAGGCCTCGAAGCAATCGCCCTACGGAACGTAACCCCACCCAGCAGCTAAATGGACTGTTTTAGAATATTGTACCGCATCGAGTTTAGATTTGTTTTTCAGCATGTTTGTAATTAAAATTATAACTTTGATTTTTTTCTGCACGAATAAACTTTAATTCTGCATTTATGTTACTTACGGTAAAATTGTTTTGAAATGTTAGTATGGAAATTTTAATAAATTGTAATAAACCTAACTACTTCTTAATAAACAACCTCTAATTTTACAATTTCTAACATTATACTAGACAAAAGTAATTTTATCTTGCTTATACAGCGGATCTGCTTCGATTCCATACTTAAACTTCAAAACGCACGACGTATTCCTTCCGGTGCGTTCGCCCTAATCACCAACTTTCATTTTCTGCACAATTAACCGATTAATACAGATATATGGTGCTCGTAAAAAAGGGTCTTAGATAAATTATAAAAGTGTTCGATCTACGTGACGTATACGAACTGAACTAAAAAGGTTCACCTGGATGTCATCAATAAGTGGGAATATTTTCGCCGCACAATCTTTCCCCTGTCCGTCCGAAAGATCCCAGACCCGTTCAATTACCCGTAACGTCGTGTCACTGACCCGAAGTAAAAGCAGCCTATATCTGTACACGCCGTTACTCACGGCTTTTCTCGTTTCTTTTTCTTTTTATACGAATATATTTTAAAATTATTACCTATGTTTTTTGATACCTATGAGAATGTGATCAAACACGATGATCGGTTTAGTCATGACGTAATAAATAAATTAACTTGAAAACGCAATCATTGGTTCGTACTATCACATATTTAGAGTAAGAAAGATATGCTAATAAGATAATTTCAAGTGGAACTAAAAGGTAGATAGTATAAAATAACTTTTGGCCCAATTTTGTCTGCTTTCTCTCCTTTACGAATATATAATGTGTATACCAAACGTTCTGCCTTCGTAAACTGTCCCGATTGCCTTTCTTTAAATCACCGGAATACCTGTTAGAAAGTTTTAAGCAGCCATCTACTAAATTGTACCTTGTTTTCTCGACTGTACTTAGTCTATACATAGAAAAAGCAAAAAAAAATAGGATGGATTTTTTTTATAACCTCTCTCAATCAATTCTACAAAATGATAGATTACTTTCAACAATAATAGAATAGATTTCAATTGAATAGACTACATTTTGAACTGTTAGATTTGTAGTCAAAATGATTTGTTATGTTTTGGAAAACTTACTCCCACTTTCAAAATGAACCGTTTAACAGAAGTTGGTAAAAACTATTATGAAAATACTGGTATATTATTTCGCTATAGCTGTAGCTAACTTAACAACATTTATTTCAACTGCCATAGGGTTTCGATTAGTTTGGCTAAGAAATAAATCGTAAATAAAATATTAAGTATATTAAAACCTTGAAAATACCTGAAAACATGAATGTGGCGCTTCTATCTTAGATCTGTCAGAAATACTAACTACTGCACACTGCTGCTTCATGGCATTCGCATACTTTAACTTTCTCTTACCAAATGTACACCGAGAAACTACGTTAATAACCACTTAAATCTAAGTGCGACTTTAATGACCACCTAAATCTAAAGTGCGATAAGAAATCAGTGATAGAAAATGTTGAGAAAATTACACTCAAGACAACAACAAGACGGCTCGTTAAGTTTCATTTATCTTCACCAGACCAGATAAGTATGTCATACTAGAACAGTGCAGAGGACACATCAAACCTCTTTAAACTACTAAGATGAGCTATCTTCAAGAATCTTACTTACGTGCACTTACTTCAATATAGACCAGGTTAGCAGTTATGTTGGTTACACTCTATGAATTAGTGACAAACAACATATCTCAACTTTAATAGAGGCATTATAAAGGATATAATTTGTATTTAATTCGCGTAATACATATCTACTTTAAGTATAATAAAATAATACTGTGGGTTACTACAGCGACACAAGCATTTTATAAATGTTGATGCCTCTGTTTTTTTAAAGGGAATGAAAGGGACAAATATATTTATTAGTACAAGGTATGAGTGCAGTGGAATACTGAGTTAATAAAGTGAAACACAGGTCGTTAGATGTATATCTAAGTTGGTTTTACCGTTAATTTTGCAAGACATAACTGTACTCAACTTTCGCAATTCGTTTACGTTTTGTTTGTTCACAAAGTAACATTAAAATATACTTTCGTTCAAAACTTCTAATGCGATTTATTGTTTTGAAATAAAACTGCACTTCCTTACTTCGAAAACAATAAAAATAAGACCCATGTCGATTGCATGATAAAGTGAAAAATTGTTTAAAAATTTTATTGCATTTTCTTTCTCTTCTTTTCAAATTTTCCTGTAATACAACCGGATATATACAAAGCCTTAGTAACCAATTATAAAATTCAACATTGTACTCGTAAATTTTTAGGTATTTTTTTTTTGTTATTTACTACCAATTTGAACTTTTATTAACACACAAAGAACACAACAATGCTCAAGTAAACGTATTTTAATCTTGGTAAAGTGTTCACTTTTTGTATATTTATAATCCAAACAGCTTACTAAGCGTCTAATCTTAAAAAAATACTGCAAACACTGTCGTCTCCGTATCTCTGTCACATAAAACGATAACATCCGAAGTCGTTGCAAATGCAATATCCGCCTCGTGAATTCGAAATATACCAGCGAAACGAAAGGAGTATAATGCACGAATGAACGGATATATTCAACCATTGTTTAGAAAATAGAATACAATTTAGGATTCAATTTACCCTAACTGAATCTCCTTTTAAATTTACACATAAATCGTCACATAATAATGTCTTTTAAAAATTTCAAATTGTACACACCAATTTGAAATTTTTAAAAGACATTATTGTTAGTTAATACCACGAATATAAAGTAACATATTAATCTGCTTAGAAATAGAATTATATAATAAATCGATGTAACAGGACTGTCTTCTTCAGCATAATTTTTTCAGATTCAATTATTGTTCGAAAAAACTTTCAGTCATTACTATCTACTACTACTAACACATTGTTCCGAAATAGAACTTCTAAATGTAAATGTGAAGGTTTTTATTTATTTAATGTATTTATACTCACAAACAAAAACGATATCCTATTTGCTGTAGTGTAAAGTGTTACTACAGTCGGAGAAATAAATAAAGTACGGCCGAGTAAATCTAGGCTTTAACTTTCCCCCTGTGGACTTAAAAGTTTTAGATTCGCTGACGCCTCGCTCTTGCGAATGGGAGCGCAGGAGGCGCTTACATAAACATGGAAGCAATAAATCCATGAGACGTCTAGAAATCAAGTTTCCTTTGCGAAGCAAAGAGTTTACGTAATGAATCTGGAATACGATAAAATATACCTGCCTTGTGAGAAAATACGAAGCATCTTTTATTTAAAAAAAATATTTGATTGAGCTAATTACGCCATAGTCTGTGGCATGATACTTATTATACAAATTAATTTAATAACTATTAACCTTATAATATGGAATGTAACATAAAAACTTTTCATATAACATGCACTGAAATACACCGGTAGTTATGAAAACTTTATTACCAAGGGGGGGATTATAACATTTATTACATACGCAATAAATGTTATAATCACAGTAAAACTGCGGTAATATACTTCGTAAGTGTCATGGTAACCCTTATCATCTAATTAAATTTAATTATGTCATTTAAGTACGTACATTAAAACTAAATAACTTACTTCTCACTAATATTATATCTGCGAATGTTTAGATGGTTGGATGTTTGAAGATAGATCTAGAACGTCTGAATGGATCTCGCTGAAGTTTTAAATAGATTTAGAACATAGCCTGGAAGAACACATAGGCTACTAATTTTTTTTAATTGGGCGCGGACGGAGTCACGGACGACAGCTAGAATAAAAAAAAGCACCTGTATACATTAAAATGCCTTTTTAATATTTATTAAATAATAAATTAAATAAATTAAAATTAGTTTTAGAATACTGGAAATTCATAAACTGATTGAAATTAAAACTAAACAATACAATTATTGTAACAGCCTGTCTAAAATTATCCCTTGTAAAACAATTAAGTGTAAAATAATTATATTACTATAGACAAAGCGTTTAATTGAGCTATTTCCTGCCGCAAATTCCGCCGCGGCTTGCATACTAATTACTATGAAGATATTGAACTGGAAAACCAAAATATCTCTGTGAAATATAAATTCTCAAATGTTATAATTAATTCCATAAGGTTATATATTGTTTTGCGACTGGTTTTACTATAGATTTGTATTAATAAAACATATGACAGCATTTCAATGAATATCTGTAAACTGTATTTAATAAGTTGGCATATTTTTATGCGTTGTCATCCTGGCACGCGATAAAAAAGATGTTTAAAAAAATTATATTATAAAAAAAAATTATGTTCTTAACTCCGATATTAACCGTTCTAAACTCTCTGTGGTATAACGTTATTATAGAAATTTAGAGGTTATATTTTCTTGGCACCAGAATCCGTCGCATTTGCTCGGCCTTAAGGCGAACTAGTGCTAAAAGATTTTTAAAAAGTCATTTTGCGAACAAAGACTTTATGTCCTAATTTTCGCTCAACTACAAATTTGTTCGTAGCGGAAAATTCAAAGTATACAAAGCTTTTCTTTGTTTTTTTATGCAATTACAACATTGAAGTTATTTGTGATCATTATTCATTAGTTATAATATCTTGATATCACAAAGTAAATTAATTAACGAATTATCAATTTTCGGTTTATATGATTTTCTTACAGACAAAATCAATTAACTAGTGTATTTAAAGGATTTGATGTTAATTTCTTGAAAGAAAATCTCTAAATAAACCTAATAAATGGAAACACTGCTAAAACATTGTTACAGTGTGTGTTTTGTTGCAGAAGAGCGTCTGATACTGCGCAACGTGTCGGGTGAGTTCCGGTCCGGGGAGCTGACTTGCGTGCTCGGCCCCTCGGGCGCCGGCAAGTCCACACTGCTGAACATACTAGCTGGATATACGTATGTTCACCATAATTTTTAACATTTAAATTTGGAATTACAGCCATTAAATTCTATATTTAAGACGCATTCGGCCAGCAATGGCGTCTGTCATTTTATTTTTAAATTTGACATTCACTTCTAAATTTAAAATGCAATAGTGTTGGCAGAAATCTACTCTGATTCTCGGTACGTTATGGCGAAAGATACCCAGATATTATACACATTTCTAAATTAATATTAATATTACCGTAATAAAACTAACATTAAAAATATTAGCTTAATACAGAGACCAGTAACAGAGAAAATGGGTCCATTTATAATGACTGCGCTGTCCGGAGACCTTATTTGCCGCAATTACAACACTAAATAAAGGGGTCGATGAAAGCACAACAAATTATTTCGCCCCAGTAAGCTCACGGCCATTGGGCTGTGTTATTAAACAGCAAATTTTGAATGGCTGCGACGTTATTAGCCGTCGGAGAGATTCTCTCGACTTAAGTGTAAATAGACCACTACGTTTTAATAAACGAGTCAAATCTTGCAGACTGAAGAGAATTAGCTTTAATTATATCTGTGAATATTGTTTTTTGCTGTTAAAATTAAAACCGGTACCTACTGCATATCTCTGAAATGATATGCAACTAAAATGACTCTCATTTCAATCAAATAAAAATATTTCTATCTAGGGAGATTTTAACGTAGTTAATACCAACGCAGGACAAAGGGAGTGAGCGGTCGTATAACAGTAAACGGCCACGCGCGCGACATGCGGGTGTTCAAGAAACTTAGCAGTTACATAATGCAGGATGACCTACTGCAGCCGCGCCTCTCTGTCTGCGAGGCGATGCGAATCGCCGCAGACCTGAAACTGGGAAAAGAACTGGGGAAAGCGGAGAAGGAACTCATCGTAAGTTTTAAAATTCACTACCGTAACCCATATAGGCTGAGATCACCGATTTCCATTTCATCTCTCGCCCATTATTTATCAACTTTACGCATGAATCCTTAGTCAAAGTAGACATGCAACAAAGAATCAAAGAGAGTATAAGATTGATTAAGGGATGTCTTGAACTATAGACGTTTCGTTGCATTTGGTGTGTGATAAACTCTTATTGTGGGGTAGCCGATTTGCCCATATGGCATTTGCCTAGTTTGGAAATTATAGGTTATACTCGTATGCTTAGTAAACTCCACTTCTAAGGATCTTCAATTTGATGTACACTTTGACAAAGTTTTAAAATTTAATCACATATTTGCTGTATAACTTTTATTAAAACCCTGCCAAAAAGTTATAGCAAAAGTACTGATTCGAAGATTCTTGAAAGCTAGTTAGAAAAAATTGACATGCATCCAAAAGAGCAATGCCAATGCAGAGCGGCGGGCGTGCCTGTCAGCTAAATTTATATTGAGATCTGGAATGCAAAATACATGTTGTGGTTCCGAAGCACATTCGACGAGATATTTTCTCTAGAATGCTTAAAGGTAGATTGAAAATTTCTGCGAACATTCTCGAGTCTTCATTCCTGTTACGCGATTTCACGGTTTTCAACAACATTTCAATTTACAAATTGAATACAATAAAAAAAACACGCCAAATAAATGCATAGGGAAGCATAAGAAACGCTTTTTTACTTTTTTTTCAGGGGTTTTAAATTTTATTAATTCACTAGTTTAATACTCAACAAAAAGAAATTGTCTACGTAACTTCTACTACCTGTTGGAATTGGGATGTTATTAAAATATTAAAATGGGCCTATATCTTTGTCTTTTCCAATTTAATATGTAATGTCAAACATTTATCAGACGTTCTTATGAAAAAAACATTGTGATAGAACCTGCAGACCAACTAACTTACACTGGGCCAATCTGGTTGTCTATGGCCTAGTCACCCTAACTGGAGTATTCGCAAAAACTCTCGGTGGGGACAAACATATGAGACAACAACAACTATTTCATTACCGCGTATATAAGTAATTATTCTGTTATTTATCACGACAGGAAAATGAAAAAAAAATGTAATTTAAAAAGTCACATTTACTGGCCGATGACATTTATAACGATAAAAAATAACTCATATCATGGGTACAAAACATCATTTATACGTATAAGTAACTTATCGTGGTGCGTCATGCGTGGTATCATTATTTCTGATTATGGTTTATTAAAACTTCATTTGTGAATAGTTACGTACGACCACATAACAACCCTTTTACTGCCGAGGTCGACTAATTGTATGGCATTCGGTAAATAATTTAACATTTGAATTTTCTATGCTCATACTTACAGAATTAAAAGTGTTTCTTCCCATATATTGCTAACAGGTTGAAGAAATCCTGCAGACGTTAGGATTATGGGAACACAGAAATACAAGATCTGAACATCTCTCCGGAGGGCAGTCGAAACGCCTATCAGTCGCTTTGGAGCTTGTCAACAATCCACCAATTATCTTCCTGGATGAGCCAACAACGTGAGTAAACTATAAAGTACGAATTATTAGTACTGGCTAAGGTATTTAAAACATAAACAAACGCAATTGCAAAAATAAACGAATATTGTGCAGACGATACCTTGAATTAAACGAAATCCTAAGTGCTGTATTTCTCTGAAATTACACACGAATAAAGATGTGCAGTAAAAAGTATACGTATAATTAGGAGTAATAGGTTTAATCCAAACCCTACCGTTACGCTTTATAGATCGTAAAAGCAAGCCGTGTGCAGAGAATTGAAACGTGTCCCAATATTCAAAGTACGTCGAACTCCCAGTATGAAACATAAATAAATAATGAGTATTTCGTCCGAGCTTAATTTGAGTATCGACTTTGCGACAACCCTATTGAATTGAGTCGTGACGCACGAACGAGATCCACTTTCATTAATCATTCAGATGAACATGACGTAGCCGAGATGTTTACTTTAAAAAAAAAATCAATTTTATATGAACAACAATGGACTTTATCACCTTAATGTTTGACATAATTAAAAAAATGTCCATATTCTAATAGCAAAAACGCAGTTGAGGACGTCTTTGCCTGACAGGCGCCTCAATTCCACTCACTGTGTATGTAACTTTACGGTGTCTAATGCAAAATATAAGATGATTCATAATTTTAAAGTACCCGGTCGAGACAAAACCAAATCTTAAATAGTATTTCCAAGCTATTCTTTGTATTTTAAAATTTCATAATCCTATAATCCGAAACTAAGCTAGTAATCACAATTAGCAATTCATTGAACATTAAATCAGGTCTCTTCTTTGCATGAAAATTCTCGTCGAGCAAAAGCCATTCTGAATTCACATGAATTTGGAACAGCTCCAATTAACCTTTTTGTAAAGATTTGTAGCGATTTAAAAAGTAGGTGCTAATTCAAAGGTACATACAACTTAAGCATAAAAACGTCTTTTAACAAAACAAAAATTTTACTAAGTATAGAACTTGCTTTTTCTAAGAAAAAGCCCCTTTAAACCCATTTTTATTGGCAGGACCTCTATTTGTCTCTGACCTTCTCTGGCATATATAAAAATATTATATATGTTGTAAATTTTAGGTTAAAAAGTAACCTATAATATTTCTGTCCTATCATAATCGGTCCAGCTGTTCCGAAGATTACCAGGAACAAACGCTTTTGAAAAGTCAGACAGACAGACAAAAATTTTGAAAATGTATTTTTATATTCAATACAGACACTCAGATTTTATCATTACATGCAGATAAGAGATAGATTTAGGTCTAAAATCTTTACCTGTATTATATCTACGACAGTGAATGTTCCAACGCTTACATTTGCGGTAACATCAATCTGGGCGATGTTGAGCTATTGTAAACGTTTATAGCTGTACCGCAATTGTCCCCGTAAATGTGCACGACTGTACCATTGGCTTATTTATCCAAATACCTCTGCCTTACGTACACAGCCTACAAATATAAGCTCTATTGTGAGATTTAGCAACATGCAACATAATAAATCAAAATGTCATTACTTTTTATAATACTATACGATTGTACGGATTGTAGGGTTGTCCAAAGTATTAGTTGAGTAAAATTAAGTATTAAAATAAATAAAATGTCCACTTAAAGTATGCAGCACATTTGCAACAGTATGATGCCAACCTTCACACATACCTTTAATTCCTGTTTCGCATATATTGTCTACAAAATTTTCCGATATTACGTAAAATAACAAACTATTGACACACAAACGAACATACAACGAAGTAAAACTCTCCCAAGACATGGAATTACAAGACAAGGATTAATCTTAAAATATAAATTTCCTTGTCTTGGAATTTAATTTTTTAATTTATAATATTTTTAATTTTCAGAGGTCTGGACGTCGTTTCTATCAGACAACTAGTGGTGTTATTACGACTACTCTCTCGACAAGGTCGCACCATAATATGCACCATTCACCAACCGTCCGCTTCCCTATTCTCACTCTTCGATCGGGTTTACGTACTGTCAAGAGGAATGTGTTGTTACCAGGTATAACATAAATATTACTACATAGATTATAATTCGATTAGAATAAACTATACTCAAAGAAAAAACGCTGTGTATCGAAAACTACAATTCTTTATTGTAAAGAATGTTTCGCATCTGTCTACAAAATTTGCAAAAGGACGAAGCCACTTATTTCACTACAAGCCGCGACTCTGTCTGCGCAGAATTTTAAAAAACTAAATGAGTTGCCTATATGTTCTTCCAGACTATGTTCTACATCTGTGCCAAATTTCATCAAGATCTGTTGAACCGTTCCGAAGATATCTTCAAACGAACCACCATCCATCCATCTAAACATTCGTATTTATAATATTAGTATGATAAAAAATACGAATAATATTCGTGTTCAGAGCTTAATATCATATACAGAGTACTTAAAATTATAATATTCAAAATAATTATGACCGTTAACATCCTGTCGCCTCAATGTCATTAAATTATACAGAAAAACAGGTACGATCACAACATACAACATTCTATCACTTAAGTAAGCCAAGGGCTCCTTCACAAATTATACTATAATTTCCATTAACATGTCATAAAGCTATTTACATTAGAACTACAATTTGCGTAAACAAAACTGTTTTAATATAAACAAAAGACAAAATAAGGAGAATACGTGACAAATAAGGAAAAGGTACCTCAAATGTTTACCTGTTCAGTGTGTAAACTTCATAAGATTTACCAAGGTCGTAAATACTACCAATTACAACGATATTATCCTACATTTAATAATTAATATCTTCCCTTTTATATTTAACAATAAACTAACGAAGAATCTAATGAATAGTCTTAAATCTATGATATAAAATAAAATATTAAAAAACGAATAATTTACTAAAATATATTATTAAAACATTGCCTAAAGGGACTCCCCCTTTAGGCAATGTCCCGAAGATACTGGCAGCGTTCCCCCTATATCCTATATTAACCTAACAAATTAAATTTAGAAGCTTCCGTTGAGAATTACGGACTAAATTACTGATTGATGATGATTTGAAACGCACTCAATCTTACTAATATTATAAATGCGAATGTTTGGATGGATGGACAGATGTTTAAACGTATCTCCAGAATAATTGAACAGATCTTGATGAAATATGGCATACATATAGAACATAGACTGGAAGAATACACAGGCTAATTATTAATTTTTTTTTTAATTCCGCGCGAACAGCGTCGCGGGCGACAGCTAGTTACTCAATAAAAAGTCAACATTTTGTGTCGTCATATAAGAAAAGCATATTCGTAACATTTTCTACAAATGAATAGGAGGAAAAACAATGCAAACTTAGAATTAACTTTAATACAGGGTGCAGCACCGCTTCTCGTTCCATTCCTGACCGAAGTAGGACAGATCTGTCCATCGACGCACAACCCAGCAGATTTCGTGGTAGAGACAGTTGCCAGCGATCCCGAAGCCTCCGCAGAGATGTCTGAGCTCTGTCAGAATGGAAAGCTGTGCCGAAAATTGGACAGAATGACGTTAAGAGGCGGAAGGTAAGATAAATCAAGAACATTAAAAACATTCTTCGTGTATCAGATGTAATGAAAAGGCAATCCAGATCAGACAAAATTATTATCCATTATATATAATATTATAATACAAAAACATTGTATGCTTCATTTATATTGAAGATCCCCTTCTTAAGAATTTCTCGGAATATTGTCTTACACCAGATTATATGAAAGTAGCCACAAACGAAATAACATTCTCAAGATACAGTATTAAAGCTTATACATTAATATTTCTTTACATAAAATCTAAGAATAATGCTCAAGATCCACACAATTGGGTTCTGCGACCCATTGTGACATAGATGTAGCTCTGTTAATAGCCTGTTACGTAATTCATAAGAGAAATGATTGTATTCCATACATTATGAAAAATAGGATCATATTTCAAAGCATAATTACACCTGGGAACTTTTCTTCCTAGTAATTTATTCAATAATCATCTTTAACTTCCTTCAATATACGAATAAATCTCGTATCATCATGTAGTATAAAGTAAAAAACAACAGCAAAAAATTAAATAAAGTTTAATAACAAATTTCAGGAAGCCAGTACTGCACTCAGACGAATCCATCCAAAGAATCTTCGTTGAGCACATAGCTAAAGAACAAATGCAGAAAATGGAATTTCCAACCACCTTCCTGACGCAGTTTCTCATATTAACAAAGCGAATGTTTATGCAGAGCAGAAGGAATTCGGTAATTGTTTTTTAATTTACATATTTAAAAATCAATGCGAACTTTACCTACGTCGCACAGCTCTGTGTAACGATCTGTCCTTGGCAGTATTTAGCCAAATAGGTTCATGTATGTATGACGAAGAGAGTATACCCTTTTCAAAGACCAGCAACGCAATTGCAGTTTCTCTGGTGTTGTGTAGTTAAATGGGCATCGGTTATCTCTTTACAGTGAGGGTGCCACTACTCGTTTACCCACTGTTAATACAAAAAACATCTAACCACTTTCCCGTGAATTTATAAGCAAAGCTGAGGTTTCATTTAATATTGCGGAAATTAGCTCACCTTTTTTAGAGGAAGTTAAATAAACTATAACCAAGGGACGTGAAATATCGAAACAAAAAATATTCTATATTTTCCGTGCACACCACACATATTGGCTTCGGCAGGGATTTTTTGCTCTATTTCGGAAGGAAAATAAGCGACCCAACCGTCATATTATTCCTAGATTACATAAATATCTTTGTTCATATTTCACTTTCTTAAAAAGAACGCTTAAAAAATGATTTTTCCTTTTACATATCTGTAAGTAATAACTTTATATTTATTGAATATTTCGCATCGTTATTGTTTCCAGTACAACATTTTTATAATACTCATATATGTAAATATAATAAAGCGTAATATAAGTTTGAACAATTTAATTTTCAGAATTTCAAACAGTTCTTGCATTTTATTCATCGCTCAAAGTCGTCATTTATCAACGTTAGGTCTGCTTCGTACATTCATTCGCTAATACACCGATTCGTTCCGCAGTACTTTATTCCAGGAAATAACATTTTTAATGATACAAAATATTATGAATAAAAAGTCATAACGTAGAAGAAATAGACAGATTTCGAGCAGCAAAACTTAACGTGTATATACATCATAGACCATTGTTATCTGTGGATATTAATGTTTTTTTTTCATGTTATAAATTCACACCATCTCTCATCCAGTGTTCTAGTAATATAGATAAGAAAGTAGTTGTTTTTATGAGCCTTGATATGGATTACAAATAATGTCGAGTGCTTTATCTTACTTTAGCAAACTTCAGATTACTAGCAAAAATATTTTAATACACCATATGATGGATCATTGGCGTATTATAAGTTTAATTTTAAAGCGCTTCTAGAATTTCTTTAATAACAAAGAAGACGTAAATTACATAATAAACTATAATTAATTACCAAAAAACTATAAAAAGTCCTTTTTTTTTAGTTTATTCTGGATAGATTCTTAGCCAGTAATCTCTTTTGAAAGAAAGTCGTATTGATTTGAAAATACCGCTGAGGACAGACACTTCACTATGCGAATGTGCAAGGTGAATGAACCTTAGAGTTATTGAACACATGTCAAGATATAAAACCTCTTTGTTTCTTGTTCCACAGATAACACTATGGATACAGTTGATTCACCACGTGGTATCCGCAGTGCTTCTGGGAAGCATTTTCTTGTTCGTTGGTAACGATGCAGCCGTGCCTATCGTTAACTTCAAGTTCTGCATAAGTGTTCTTGTGTTCTTCATGTATACTTACATCATGATACCTGTACTGTTGTGTAAGTTATGTTACCTGCAATCTATAGTTAATATTAAAACATCGATCAAGCTTAACTATTCTTTCACTCAAGCTTTATCAAAGTTATGATCTGTTCTTCACTAGAAACTGGAAACTAGGAACTCTAGAAAAGTTTTTTTTATAAGAGCAATTATAAATCTTTAAAAAAATTCAATGACAGAAAAATATAGCTACATTTTAACGCTTTATTCGTTCTCGTTTCGTGAAACTTTGAGACTGGAGTGACTTTTATTTATTTGAGTTAAACTCAAGCCTCAAAGCCCCTTCGCCTTAAAGAAAACGCACGCGTTCACTCGCCTGGAAGTATTTTATTTTGCTACGCATTTGTTTTTTTGTACATTGAAGGGTTTTATTGACTGTACAAACAAAACGATCCGATGTTCGAGCAACGTATTACTCCCTCAATTCGATATATACACGTACGTCGAACACAAAAACGATTCTTCAGAACTAGATTTGAATTCGCTTTCTAAACAAAATAGTCGTCAAACCTTATGTAATATTTATTTCGGCTATTTGTTCTGTCCTACAGTCAAGTCCTTTAGGTAGACTCTTAGTGAAAATTTCCATATTAAATCCACGATAAGCAGCCTCGCTTAGGGATTCTAAGCGATGAGTTTTTACCGATCGCCTTTTGTAATCAAAAAATGTACGTGATATAGGGATGAATAGACACAAAACTAAAGTTTTTACTTCAGGATGTAAAACAATTTACTTACCGTTGGGTTTCGAGTCCAAAATCCACGGGGGACAAAAATATTATTCTATAATATCTGTTTTGTCAAAGACGAGAGAGCGATATATTTCATACGGATTTTGATGTCAGAAACCTGCGATTAGTATATTAACAATTAAAGTTGATTTGTTAACGAAAATCATTGAATATTGCGGTTTAAAGGCTTTCCAGTTCTGTTTCTATTCACCTCTTGATTTCTATTCGTCCCGTTTAATTACTCAACGTGTTCTTTACCTTTACAGTTCCTTTGGAGGTTCGCATGCTAAGACGTGAATACTTCAACCGCTGGTACGGTCTTAAAGCGTATTACGCAGCTCTGACGTTTTCATCTCTGCCTGTTATGGTACGTACCAATTTTAGGAATACAATCATGTTTGTTAGACTTTATTTATCTAATATAGACTATAATTTAGACTAGCTATCGCCTGCGACTCCGTCCGCGCAGAATTAAAAAAAATCTTATTCGTTCTACATCCATACCAAATTTCATCGACATCCGTTAAGCTGATATCGTCTAACAAACGTCCATCCATCTACACATTTTCTTTTATGACATTAATAAGATTTGTCTAGTAAACATTAAGATTTGTTTAATTTCAGGTGCTTTTCGGCTTACTGTTTCTTGTAATCGTCTATCTCATGTCAGGACAAATTCTAGAATGGGATCGGTTTATCTTGTTCGTATTTTGCGCTATACTGATCGCCATCTGTTCTGAAGGCTTTGGACTTGTCGTGGGCTCTGCCTTCAATGCTACCGTAAGTTACTTAATAGACAATTTTTTTTTTATATCTCACAACTTTTTATTAACCTCTAATAATCTAATACAGCCAGTTATTTTACTCAAAACATGAAAAAATTTAAATGTTATCAAAGTAATCATTATCAAAAGTATAAATTAATCTAATCCATTCCTTATTAGTCTAAAAATGATAAAATAGATACCTATTTGCAATTCATTGACTAGATCTTATCACTTAATTTCCTGATTTCCTTTCTAGAATGTTTAATAAATTCTTTCTACTTTTAATGAATTAAAAAAAAAAACAAAAGTCTTTTTATCTTTGCAGAATGGCTCCATAGTAGGTCCTGCAACAGTTTCTCCATTGCTGGTTCTTTGCTGCTATGGAATGGGATTCGGACCGTATATAGAAACGAGAATGAAGATTTTAATGTCATTATCGTACTTGCGTTACGGATTGTCAGGTTTATCTATTGCATTGTACCAAAAGAGAACGTCTATGGAATGCCATCAAGATTTCTGCCTGTACTCCGATCCTAAACTTATTCTACGTGATGTTGGTATGGCGAATGAAACTTATTACATGCAAATTATTGGTTTACTTGGCTTTATTATAATTCATAGGTTGATAGCTTACTTTGTACTACGTTATCGACTTACATCGGAATTCTCAAATAAATTTATGTCATATATTAGCAAATTTTTAAAACATAGATAATTTTTTTTTGTCTCTGAATCTAGGAAGAATCTTAAAAGTGCACAAAATAGAATTATATGGCCTGGAATTTGCTAAGGTTTAACATCAAATCTCTTTTTAAATTTGAATACAGAAAGTAATTCAATATTTGTTACATATTTATGTTTTCTTTACGATTTTACATTTTTTTTTTTTTTAAGTAATGGTACAATGAACTAAATCTATTAGAATTTCGGTAATTCAATTTCCAAATAAATTCCAAGGCCTTTAGTTATAATCTAATCGGACAGGGACTTTAATAATTACTTTGGTAAGTGAACTAAAATTTATATAATATTTTGTAAGTTATGAAGTATTCGCATCTGTGATTTTTTAAATTGTATTGTGTTAAGGATAAGGATGAATTTATAACAGACAATAAAAAAAATTATAAAAAAAACTAACGTCTTTTCTTCGTTTCGTACTAATATGAACCATTTGAAACTAATCAACTAATTTTGTGGGATTTGTGACAAATAATTATTCATCGAGTACTCTATACAATTATATTAGAAGCAATTGCTACTTGATACGTAATGCAAATTCTTGTAAAAAAAAGTATTAGAGTTGGACTCATGAAACGAAACGTATATGTTTGCAAGATTTCTTTTACCAACGTCTATTCTATCGTTAATCGTTCAACAGAATTTTAAAAATATGTCAAGTTTGACACGCAAATAAGCTTTTATATAAAAAAACTAATTTTTAATTCACCCAGCATTGCATGGAATACTAAGTAGTGCTTAACTGCAATTTCTAAGAAATTTAATCAATATACGGTCGCTGCAATCCAAAATAGGCCTTAGTATCCGACAATGTCTCCGCTATCCTCGATCCCGCGCCACTTAGACTTGGATTGAACTTATCTCTTTCATCGCCTCATTCCTGACACATCACCACTCGTTATGTTAAGACCGTTTTTAAGTTTTTAGCGCATTTTTACCTTACAAACTTTTTTCCAATTAAAACACGTTATGATTGCGTGTTCGTTATCTAAGATAATTCTAGCACTGGCCAGTATGTATTTAACAAATTCTGATAAAATTACTTACGTGATTCGAGTACAACTAATGGATACCATATTACTTTTACGTCAAAGGTTCAAGGTTATAGATTAGGTTATTATTGAAAAGGAATTAAGAGTAAATATTAATATCATCGAAAATATGATAATCTGTGGTCGTAATCTGGAGTTGATCTTACAAGAATTTTTCGTATGTATATCGATTATATATAACCTTATACAGATACCTAATTTCATTGTAATCTTACTAGTAACGTAATATTTACTTTATACTAAGAATCGCGACAATGACTTGGCTAATAAATATTACGCTTTAAAACAATAAAATTAAGTTTCATAACTACACTAACCATGAGTATAAATTGATAAGAATGTTTGTTAATACATACTGAAGGCAAATGTCGTATCTATACACTGATATGGTCTGTGGAAATATTGATGTAATGAAATTATATAATGACACACGCTTATCAACACATTTAAAATAAATAAAAGAATTTATTTGGCTGCATATTTTTATTGCTGTATATGTATAATATCAATCATAGTTTAATATCAGATAGAAATAATTTAAAAAAAAAACAACAACAACAACCTATGATTTAACAATTTAAGCAAAAGCAAATAATATATTTTAACTTTGTTCCAACAAAGATAAACAATATGATCTAATGATATAAAAGAGTTAAACTCTGATGCTCTTTGCAGCTACATATAATTATTCTTATAAACTACACGTTCAATCTTTGCACACATCCAAAGCATCCTGTTTCTCTTCAGCCAGCTCCTTTCCAGTATTATCTAACATTTGACGGGCAAAGTCAGAGATAGTGAGACCTTCAACAATCTTCCACTTTCCATTGCTAACGGTAACGGGGAAGGAGAATACAACATCACGCGGAGTACCATAGGAACCGTCAGAAACAACACCCATACTAACCCAGCGGTCACCGGTACCCAAAAACCAATCTCTCATATGGTCAGATGCTGCTTTGGCTGCAGAAAGAGCGGATGACATCTTCCTCGCTGCTATCACAGCAGCACCACGCTTTTGTACAGTACTAACAAATGTGGTTTTCAAATATTCATCATCATTAATGGCTGCAGGGACTGGCTTCTCAGCACCATTAATCTTAACTAAAGCATTTGAGGCATCTGGGAACTGGGTGGAAGAGTGATTACCCCAAATGATTACATTTTTAACATCTTGCACAGGAACACCAATTTTCGCAGCTAATTGTGACTGAGCACGGTTTTGGTCCAAACGGGTCATGGCAGTGAAGTTTTCTTTTGGAATAGATGGAGCATATTTCGAACAGATCAAAGCATTAGTATTTGCAGGGTTACCTACAACAAGTACCTTAACATCTTTGCGGGCTACTTTATCGAGAGCCTGGCCTTGCTCCTTGAAGATGCGTACATTGGCAGAGAGCAGATCTTTTCTCTCCATACCCTCTCTCCTGGGCATGGCACCGACTAAGAAGGCTGCAGCAACATCTTTAAAAGCCTCTTCTGGGTTGGCAGTGGGGAGGACACCAGTGAGCAGGGGCAATGCACAGTCAGCAAGCTCCATTACTACACCTTCTAAAACTCCCATCATGGGAGCAATATCGAGAAGGTGGAGGCATACTGGCTGTTCTGGACCAAAGACAGCACCAGAGGCAATCTGGTACAATAGTGAGTAAGCAATCTGCCCCGCAGCTCCAGTTACTACCACTTTAATTGGTGCAGCCTGGAAAAGAAAACAAAAGTTATTATTATATTTCAAAGTATAACTTGAAAGCATCTAATTCATAAATGGGCAAAGTTCAAAAAAAACTTGCTCAAAGTTCAGAAAAAATATTTTACACAACCAAAGCACTATTTTATTATGAATCATGATATGAAGTAAGGATAGTAAATTGTTATATCGAATTGATATTAAAATACAGATAAAAAGATACAATGAAGGTATAACAGTAAAAAAAATTATTTTGAAATACAAATAAAATATTTTATCACATAGTTAATTAATCATTAAATTTTAATCCGTTTATATGGTCACAAATGGCAGATTGGTGTATTAAATTAAGTTTATAAAAGTTACCATAGTTAAAGGTGCAACCACAACTACCCTCTCAGTATCAATTGGTTCAGAATACCCACAACAACATGCCATACCGACAATAATTAGCTTACGAGATCAAATAAATGCTATACCATACGATACGGTTATCATCATTTGATAATAATCCCCTCTATGATTCAAATAGATTGTGCTTTTGAAACCAAGTGTAACAGACATAATTAAAAACCGTGAACTTTTACTAGTTTTAGATTTAATGTTTTTAATCTTAGTATAGAAGTAGAAGTCCAAGTCCACCTAGAGGTCATAGCAATGTCAAGTCACGGCTGGAGAAAATTTATAAAAAACTTACCATTTTATAGCTGATTAAGGCACGAATTCAAGAAATAATTTGATAATCTCAGAATACAGGTGTAAGGCGCTGTTCTCCAAAACAGATCCTTCTAAGACTCCTGATGGCCGCTTGAGATATAGAATAACCAAAAACCGAACTGAATATAAAAACTGTACTCAATTTATAAGTATTGCAAACCTTATAACATATAACTATAGATGATAGGTCAAATTACGCCGGCAACCGATTGTAGCTAATGGACATAGACAACTCAGACAAAGAGTATTTATTTTTATGAAATGAAATTGACTAAACTTGACCAAGAAATGTTTGATTGAGGTGTTATTCTTAATAGAAAAAGAAGGAGGAATTTTATTTATTCAAAGGTTTGCATTTTGTTAAAGAAATTGGTTGGAAAATCTTCAATTTTCATTAATGTTTTAAATTCTATGAACTCGAATATAGTCTGTAATATATTCTCTTTGGTTCGGGCTGGCGAATGTGACATAACGAGATAACCTTAAATTCTTACATTTTCTCCAGAAAAATAGCAAATAAAATATTAAAACGATTTTAAGTTATATATTATTGATGCAATAAATAATTTTCTTAAAAATGTCATCATTATTGCGTTCAACGAAGTTTATTCGGTATTTTACTGGTGCAGCAAGAACTTTAATTTTAAACTCGGCGAAAAGTGCTGAAGCAAATTTACTTATTAATTCTAAATCATTAAGTGCAAGTAATAGGTAAGTAAATCGACGATTACTTTATTATAATTAAACTTCTATTTACATTTTCCTTCTTGTCGATTATAAGTCATATTGTGGTTAAACATTGCATTTCCGTAGTTGTTTGAATGGAAGGCTACATCAATCGATAAATTCTAAGGTTTGGCGTTTGTCGTTCATAGCTATTATTGCCATATATTGTAATTGGAATCAACGATAAACTTATGAAAATGAGTTGTTTTCTTTAACCCCTCATGAGCCTGCAATATCAAAATTTTCCACGCTCTTGAGTCATTTTTAACCATCAATTACACAGTTACTTCTTATTTTTTCCCAGTGTATTACTGAGAGATTATACAACTTCTAAAAAGAAGGAAAATCTTGAACCATTACTACAAAGGTTAGACTCGGATGTTCGAAGATTTGGAAGAATAACAAAAAAAGATATTGATGAAGTATTTGATGAAATAATTTCAAAAAGTGACATCACCAGTTCTCAATCATTGCTAGTAATCAGATGTTGTGGTGAGTTTAAAGAAATATTTATAAGATTTGTATTAGATATTGTTTCTTCAATATATCCTGTAATTTTATCAGTAATACAAGAATATCTTTCAATCCTTTTCACAAAACAATTTCAGGTGAATTAGTACCCGAAGAACTTCCTGAACAAAGAACACTTTTAGTACAGAAAATATGGAGTGTATTAACAGAAAGGGGCATCCCAATGGACATATCACATTACAATGCTTTGCTAAGAGTTTATATAGAAAATGAACATCCATTTTCACCTGCAAAAATACTTGAAGAACTAGAAAACAAAGGACTACAACCAAATAGGTAATGCACAAGCTGTTAGAAAGTTTTAAAATGGGTAACCTTTTATTCAATTTATTAAAATTAATGTTAAATTTTCACTCAGGGTTACTTACCAACGACTTATGTGGCGTTATTGCCAAGAAGGTGATGTGGATGGCGCTACCAAAGTTCTAGAAAAGATGCGGGAACTCAATCTTCCCGTGTCTGAACCTGTATTGAATGCTTTAGTCATGGGACATGCATTCCATGGTGATACTGATGGTGCAAAAGCAGTGTTGGAAACTATGGCAGCTGCAGGACTACAACCAACTAATCGAACATACACATTACTAGCTTGTGGATTTGCAAGGAAAGGGGATATACAGAGTATTAAAGATATCATCAATACTGCAACTGCAAAGGATACTTTTTTGTGTGATAAGGTGTGTTAAAATAAATCTAACTTTTTATCTGATTACGGTCTTCCAACTAATAAGATGTTGAGAGGTGGAGTGTCGGTGGCTCCATGGTCAAGTACTTGACTTGCAATCTGCAGCTCCTGGGTTTGAATCCCGCCATGTACCATTGTGTTTTTCGATTTCCGATATACATATGTACATTTATCCGACGTTCTTACGGTGAAGGAAAATAGCGTGATGCAATCTGCACATATCTGAGAAGAAATTCAAAGATATGTGTGAAGTCAACCAACCCGCATTTGGCCAGCATGGTTACCTGTGGCCTAATCACCCTTAACTTAGGGTAGGCTCCGAGCCCCTTGGTGGGGAGGTATAGTAAACTGATGATGATGATGAACTAGTAAGATGTAGTTCCTTTTCCATCTACTCCAAAAAATTATCAAATTTACTTTTAATGTCACTAAATAAATATAATGTATGCAAAAATAATAACATTGTAATTTTTTAATTACAGGATATTTTAGACATAATTGAAAATTTAGCTATTGGTGGTCATAATGACAAAATTGACGAACTATTTCCTCATCTTCAAAAGAGTCAGGGGTATAACCAGGATGTATGCAATCTTGTGTTGAGATTATTAAACAAGGGCCATGAAGATTCTGCGAAAAAAATGATAAAAACAATGGCCAAAGTACTTACAAGTGACGAAACACCATTCAAATGTGCATTCTTTGTAAAACATTTAGTAAAGCTCAACAATTCGCCGGACAATGTTGTAAAGTCGTGCAGGGCACTTCAAGAAGAAGGTTTGGCACCAAAAGCACTATATATTGCAGCTGAAACAGCATTCCATTTAAAGAAACCTGAATTAGCGCAAAAACTTTTAAAAGAACTGCAAAAAGATGGATTTGAGTTACGGCAACATTACTTTTGGCCTATCCTTGCTCAAAAAGGTAATGAAGGTGACGAGGAAGGTCTCTTACAGGTGCTTAGAGATATGGCAAAAGAGGGTTTAATTCCCACCGGTGAAGCTCTTCGAGATTACGTAATTCCTTTCCTAATTGGTAAAGATACTCCTGAAAATATAATTCTTAAGCTGCAAATTGCAAATGTACCTCTAGCTCTCAGTGCGAGAAATGTTATGGTAGAAGTTTTAGAAACGGCAGATATTAAGAAAGCTGCTGATATCGCTTTACAGTATAGACCTAAAGGGCAGTACACATTGATTTCTCGACCTTTGATTCATGCCCTAAACATTACTAAAGATATTAAATCATTTGTAACCATATTGCATGTTATAAGCCGTCCACAACAAACAAATATTGAGGATGACTCTATGATTGATGAAACACAGAAAGACGATGTTATCAGTAGAGAAATTGGTCGTATTGTAAAAATAGCAGTGAAGAATTTAGTAAATCCGGAATTATGTGAACAACTGTTACAAGAATTACACTCAAAAGGCCTTACCATAAGCACATCTTATGCAGAAGAAATAGAACAATATCTTGGACAAAATATGACTACCAATTTATCTGAATTATTAACTAAATTAACTTCACCTGATTTGGAAGTTGTGCCTCTTGAGAGCCCACGTCGCACTGGACCACTAAATTCCGCACAGCTGGAACAACTACTGACACGAATTAAAAGTAAAGGTGGTAATAATATTATTCGTATACAAAAACAACTACTTGATGCATATATTAAGGAAAATAAAGTCGAAAAAGTGAACAGTTTCTTGGAAGAATTGAAATCGACAAATTTCGAAATTACAATACCAACTCTCGCGCAACTATTTGAATTTTATTCTGTTAATGATAATGTTGATAAAGCCAGAGAAATAAAAGATCAGATTACTGAAAAAGATCCAGGCTTTAAACTCAACAAGTATAAAATTGTGCACTTTGCTAATGCTTTAGTAAAAGCCAATAAGTATGAAGAGGCTTTACAATTTTTGGAAGATAATAAACAAATGGATGAAGATGAACTGTCAGGGTTCATGTTAAACTCTAAATGTTGGCAAATGTTAAACAACTTGGCTGAGCAAAAAGATGTTACTAAGGCGAGTATTCATAACTCAAGATTACCCATTAATGTTATAATTTAGTGATAATATTGTGGCACGACAATAATAAAATTTCCTGTTTTTAGGTGAAAGAATTGACAAAGTCTTTGATAGAAAATAAATACATCGAGCCATCGAATGTAATACTAGGACCGTCTATTAAAGTTCATATAATACAGAATGATATGGAAGGTGCATTGAATGAATTTGAAAAATGTTGCAAGCAATATAGAAGTACACCATGGAAAGGAGAGCTGATGAAATCCCTTATACTGGCAGAAGACGCTACAAAATTGCAATGGTTAGCTGACCTTGGCACTCAGGTAACATATATAAATTATTATTTCTTATATCAGTGTATAGAATTTAAGAAATAATTAATAGCCGGTGTTCTTCCACATGAGTCATTCTTGAGATACTTTCTCTATAACAAACATCCAACTTACGCATTTGTAATATTGGAAAGTTTGTGTTTAAATTGTTGATAAAACCATAATGTCCATTATGTTAGTATAATAGTATAATTAATATTATTATGGTGTTGGTACTGTGGTTGGCTATTACAAGGATAAAATCAAAAATCGAGATTCTTTAATAATAAACTCTTAAGTTAACTTGACAATTTACTTTATGTATTTCATGAAAAAACGTAAAGTGCAAGCTCAAAACATTTTTGTCCGGATGACCTTAACGCTTGTAACAAACCAATGAGGTTTATTTAGCGTTTTTTTTTATTTATTGTTAATTAAATAAAAAAAATATATGTTATTGTTAAATAAATAAAAAAAATATTATGCTACTACAAAAACAAGATTTGCTTTGATTTGAGTTAAATAAAATATTGTGCAGTGTACAAAACGTTAAAATTTAATTATGTGCATTATTTCAGATACACGGAGAAGTGAATATTTTGCACGATTTAGTTCTCGCATTTGTAGAGTGCGGTCGTTTGAGACAAGCGCGCCGAATACTGGAGACTCCCGGCATGCATACTCGCCAGAAACGATTAGACGATGCCTGCCAACGTTACGTACAGGTATATTTTTTAACACCTAGGCACTGCTCAGTTAATTGCAGTCTTTATTTACCCCATTATAGTTTGGGGATGTTGTAGTCGGAAAATATGTGAACTGTTACCTTGACAGTGTCATATTTTGACCAATGAGTGAGCGGCAGCTGCGCCGTCTAATGTTGCCATTTTCATAATATTGAAATACCAAAAAAAATACCCGTTATTTATGACACAGGACAGGTGTAATTTCCTGAAGTGTCTGTATTTATTAATTTTATTGGTAAGGAAGAACTATGAGAATTCAGGTCATATGATGTAACATGGTCGTCTTTGCCTATCCTAGTATCTTTGTATGACTACAACGACCATACCTAGAATATTTAGAAATATGCCGATTTTATTTTTTTGTATGCCAAAAACACGCCCAATTTTATCTCCCCTTCTCTTAATTTTATTGAATAATACTAAGCTAAATTTATAATTACAGGAAGGCAAATCAGAATATTTGGAAGGATTACTGGAAGCAACAAAAGAATTGTCATACATTGATCGTTCTAACATCTTTTACCATTTGCTTGTAACCTACTGCAAAGCGAATGAAACTGATAAAGCTTTGGGTCTATGGACTATTCTGCAAGAGGAAGGTGAAATCCCAAGCGAACAGTTCCTGATATACCTTGGAAATCATTTGAAATCCCAGCAAAGAGATGTGCCTTTCATTATTCCTAGAAATCAGACCAATGAGATACCGGTGGAAAAGAAAATTGTTAAGAAAACAACCCCACAGGAGACCAAATCTAAAGAAAGCAAACAATCAACCCCACAGTTAACCAAAAAAGAAGTTAGCACTAAAGTAGAGGAACTAGTTAAAGAGGGTAATGCCTCCGCAGCTATGGACTATACAATAAAATGCATCCAAAATGGTGTAATTCCACTAGATAACGTAACAAAGTTCATGCTTAAATCTTTATCTGAAGAAGGAAATGTTGAAAAGATACAGTCCTTGGGAGGTTATTTGACCAAATCCAAGAAGCAACATGTAACCTATGATGACAAATTGACTCTGGCTATATTCAAGAAAGGAAATGGCTCTCAGCACATTGACAGTCTTTGTAATGCTCTTCAAGTGGCTAACACTGAGGAACAAATTGAAGAAATTATTCAAAAATTCCCACGAACCAATGCATACGCTTTAGCGGTGCAAAATGAAGAAATGTCACAAAAATGTAAGCAATTTTTTAGTCTATGGACATCTAATGGATTTTACTACCGATTCTTAGAAATTCAACTTATCACTTCACTTTTGAAAAAAAAATCTTCTTATTCTATTATATAATTATCGCATTTATTTCTTTAATTCCTTTTTTTTTTTTCAGGCCAAAGACTGGTGCTGTTAGCAGCTTCAAAAGGTCACTTTTTCCCGGCAAATTTATTATGGATGGAATATCTTTTAGTGGGCAATGATAAGGATGCGGACTTGATCTGGAATCAAGCTTTGAGCTCTGCCAATGTTATTGTCTTCAGACGATTACTACAGCAGTGTTACGTCAGAAACGATATAAAGCCGATAGAGAAAGTTATCAGCTCTCTGAAAACTAACAAGAATTTGCCTTCAGCAACACTTGCCAATGCTTATTCTAGATTAATCGATATCCTAGTATTAAATAACAAGATGAATGAAGCTAAGTCTGCATATGAAGATGCTTTGAGTTGTGGCATCACACAGGACGAAATAAACAAAAATACTCTTCAAAGGCTTAATATTTCCTCAGAAAATTCTAGCGCTGAATCTAAATCGCTGTAGATTTTTTATTAATACTAGATTTCATCCATAAATATAATTTCTAGACCTTTTCTCTGTTGTAGCTCTGGTGGTCTTGTATGTTTTCGTTACGCTCACTCTCATTCGGGAGCTAGCCACAGATAAAAAAGACTTGTGAAGTGTGGTTTATTTGTTAATAAAACCTGTGATCGTATTATTTTACCATACAATCAAAAATTACATTGTTTGCATTTATGTTACACTTTGTAAAATTAAAATAAATACAGTTGTTCTAAAGATATTCTTCATAACAGTAATTATGTAAAATTTATGTCTTAAATGTATCCTTAGTTTTAGTAAATTATTAGGTATTTTCGCTTGTTTTATTTTTTAAATCCCTGTATCAAAAACAAAACAATTGTATCTTATTAAAACAACAATTTGTTATACCTAGTTTAAGAAATAAATAAATCGGACTAAAGAGTATTTGCATTTTATAAAGTATTTGAAATATGGTGATAGTTTCTGAACACTACAAAATAATATAACACCGCAGCACTATAATTATTGACTGGCACTTCAACAATGGAATTGGCTGTGACCTTAGAACTTCATCATAGATTCCTGTGATAAATTAGAATGTACTTAGATAATAAAACCGTTAAAACTCAAATGGCCTTAAATAATTCCATACATAATGTAGATTTCAAGTACAGTGTGATCTTTATGTCTGGTCGCTGGGCCGCGTACGTATATTTTCGAGAAAGTATCGACGATGACAAAATTTGTCTGAGATTTGTGCACCAACGAATCACATACAAATTATGTTGATTAACAGTTCTCTTGTTTTCTCATCAAGGATTAAAAAGCATCTTTAGTTGTAAACTGTGTACAAAATAGTCTAGAAAAAAAAACAAAGCAGGAAGTTAATTTTGTTGTTTGGCTTAAAATTTTGTTTAATTTTTTCCCCTACTCAAAAGACAAGAATCCAATATAAAATAATTAAATACGTTTCATAGCTGTATACTATCTGTGTTCCATACTCTATGGTTTACTTTTTTGCAATTCATGTCTATGTTTGGCGGGAAGATTGAAGATTAACCTTTTTGTCGGGGCACAGTAGTTGTGAAATTGAAATTAAAATGTTTTATCCAGTGGACACTCTAAAAAGAGGCGGCAAATTTTATTTATGTTGGGTCGCAGATTCGTGGCCTTTGCGTTTTGCTACTATAACGCATAGGCAACTGTGGTCACAGGATATTCGAAAAATATGGTAAGGGAATATCGACATTCACTTTCTTGTTGTAATAAATAAGAATTTTAAATTAAAATAAACTTTTTCAGTGACGACTTACTAGAAGTAATAACCAACGAATCTGGGCGTCCAACAAACAGATTCTCATTACGATTGAGCTCGCAATTGCTCAGGGGTTTGGTGAGACTTTACCAAAGAAAAGCTAGCGTCCTCTTAGGTTTGTAAGTTTAGCTATTAATTCATTTATTTTATTACCATCTTTTAATTATAACATTTTTTGCAGGAGATCTTTGTATGATCAATGCTACCGTAATAAAACATTCGAACAAAAAGTAAGTGTTGATTTTAAGAAATGTTTCTTGTTGATTATCGTAACGAATTATGGCGGCCATGATTTATAATGTTTAAATGAATTAAAAAATTGTCTTAATATTCAGTGAGTAAACTATTTTACGATATGAAACAATTACAAAAGGATTAGAGACTAGATTTTTTTCTATTCTCTAAAATTAAATGAAAACAAATGCCTAAATATAATAGCCTTTTATCGCAGATGGATTCAACAAGAAGATACGCCGAACGTTCATCGACCAAGACTTGCTGTAGTAACCTTGGAACAACCCGAGGAAGAGCCGAGAGTTGAAGAGTTAATTCAGGTTTGGATATTTATATTATACGTAGTTTAAATACGAAGTTGTGTTCAGTTTAGTATCAATAAGTTCAATATATGAAAATCGTCGTAACTTTTTTTCAGAGTAGCAACAATGTGGTTGCCAACATCGATGATATAACACTAAAGGAACCAACAATACCCGAAATACAATTTTTAATTAATGTAAGTTGCGTACTTCAATTTTTACTATACATTTTGTTAGCTTTTTTTATGATACAAATTTATTTTGACTTTTATTTTTAACCATTAAGTTTAAATAAATCAAACAATTAATTGTAAAAAGGCAAATGATCAAACTTGTTCCAATGCGTAGATGTATTAGTGTGCCAAGACCATGCAAATGGATGCCAAATGGAAATCCGTAGTCAGTCTACCTTTCAGGAACAAGTCAAATATGGACGAAAACGTTACACTAACAAAATAATTTGACAAACACGAAATATTTGTCCAATTTGGTCGTTTTTGGGTAAAAATAGGATGGTTTTGGTGAACTCCGTTCGGAGGTGCGTTCGCCGGACCGCACTGTGGAGCAGATGCTGCAAGGCAGCTCAGTCGCTCAACTGAGCGCACTCGAGACTGCCGACGTGTCGGGCGATAAGTCGCACGACAAATCGCGTCCTCATACCACTCGCGAGCTGCAGATGGAGAGGATATCAGAATACGATGTCAGCATGTATAGAAAGTGTGAGTTATGTGGACTAAATTAAAAAAAAAGGATACAAGTCTTCCAATAATGCTGGAACCCTCCTCCCCTCCTTCATCAAATCCACTTCCCTTCCCCATCCTTCCCTTATAAGTATTCCTCCGGCATATAACTATTAGTCCTCTACTATGCATACATTTTGATGTTTTACTAATTTTCTAGTGATTTTATCTAAACCTGTGAAATTCTGAAAATTTTTCGCAATTTTCGCTTTAATTCTCTATTTTTTCATATTTTTTTTTAAATCTTGTTTATGTCTCCAGCCATCGGAGCCGAGATTTCAGCAATCGGTGACATTGAAAAAGGTTTGTAAAATATTTTTTTTCTATTTCTTAACACCGCTATTAAAATACTAAACTTCTAATAACGTACACAGAAATTCCTGAAATTCCCGAAATCCCGCCTCCCGCCTTGAACGTTCCTGAACCATTGGTGTTAGTGTGTTTAACTTTTTAAAATATTTGGTAACATCGATCTTTTTTTGTCATATTGTAACGTAATAAATAATATTTGTTAAACCAAAGTCCAAGATTAGTTCATACGTAGTTTAGCTCACAAGAATATTACGAGGTAAGTGTTCAAAATCTTCCAAAGTATAATTTAGTATTTCAAGTACATAGATCTGATGACTGCATGTAGTAACAAAAACATTTTTTTTCTTTACTTTATGGTTCCAAAAAAATATTTTCTTGATATACAGACCTGAAATTGAAGTGACCGTGGTTCTACAGCCTGAAACAACTGTCCAATCCGAAGCTACTAAGAGAAAAGCTGATGATGAAATTGTTTTGGAGGTAATAAATCGCATCGTTAAAACTAATAAAAAACATTTATATTCGTGTGCAATCATTTTACTTTTATGAATTTATGCTGGGATTCTTACTGAACAAGTCAGTACTTAGGGTGACATTGGTTATATGTCCTGGTGATGATCCAGGAGTTGGAGGCGCGGAGTCCTAAGCGCCGGCGCGCGCGCCGTCTCATCATAGACCATCACACGCGCCTCGGTCCTGATTACATGCGCGATAGGATCGCCAATAATAAGATGGAATTGCGTTGCAAGGTAATGTCTTTAATGAATTTTTTTTTAGTGAAACCTGGATAAGCGAGAAACCTCTATAAGCGAAAGTTTGTCTTTTCCCGACTGACGACCTCCATGAGCGAGAGTCCGGTCGCAACCGACGACCTTCACGAGCGAGAAACTCTGGTTAGACAGAAACTTTTATAACCGACAAAAATATCACCGTTCTTTGGAGCTTCGCTTATCCAAGTTTGGACTATATTTTGACATTCAAACCTAAAGGTCGTTTGTAATTTCGCACAAAACTCTAAAAAAACACAATTTTTGGTCACCATAAAGTTTGAATCCTGTAATACTTCTAACCCTTTATAGTTACTTTGTTACAACTCTACATCGCTGACTGCGACAAAATTTAAATTTACTAGGCCATTAAAAGAAATCCCATAGTCTTGATTTATTGAAAAGTGTAGAAAATGTCGGCATAGTCAGTTAAAGTTCTTTTTATTTTGGTTTTTAGATGTTTTCATCTAGTGATTATATGATTTGAAATTGTAATAAACCGTAATTATTTATTTTAATATAATTGCAAAATAAAACGACCATTTTCTCGGATTAAGTATCAAATATAATTTTGTAACAGTCGGCTAGTGAAGACGTGATAAATATCAGAATACCCGCGGCCACGTATTTACTGCGGCCGGCGCACGACGGACACAAACTGAGGCCAAACTTCGCTCCCGAATTACGTACACTCTATCTTAGGAATTTGGAGTTTGTCTCCAAAACCACCGCACAAAATAGAGAATTGGAGGTAATATATTTTTATTTACATTTAGTTAATTTTCACAGTTTACATTATATAATCGATAGATTATATTTATAGTGGGTTTCTGAAACCAAAATCTCTGTACAAAACATATCGTCATTATGTTTGACACAACATAAATATGTTTTTAACGGCGATTTTAGTGTCAGTAACTTACGGTTAAAAGTTTATGTTATTTTCTTAGTGATAACAATTTCAGTGAAGACAAGGATTTTTTACGTAACTTGCCGATTTTTTTTAATAAAGTGTTAAAAAATACAGTAAAATGTCATAATTTGCGAAAAAAACTTTACTGAAATATCTGAAACTAAATAGAACACATCTAAAACATTCTATAATGAAATTTAATAAATCAGGTAGCAGTCGCTATGCCAGCTCAAGAAGATACAAGATCGCATTTACAACCAGTAGAGGGAGAACCCTCTGGCATAGCCGCTGTATCTCAGATAGAGTTGCCAGTGCAAACTGAGGTGGAGGGGGCGGAGGTCAACGTCACTGGCCAGGGTGAGGGCCTGCTGGATATCTCGGAGCTGCCCACTCAGGTGGTGGAGACATTGTCACAAGTCAGGAAACGCACCAGCGAATTTGAAGACGAAACTGTAAGTAATCAGACAGAAATATTGTAATATTCAAAATTCTAAATGAAACTCTACATTTTTCTCTTGCTATTTCGTTTCTATGTTGTTTTATAATACAACTAGCGGACCCGACAGACGTTATCCTGTCTACACGTCTTTAATTTGAATAAATTAACATGAAGTTAATATTTGATAAAAAATTATGAATCTAAACTATTCCCAGATCCCCTTGAACACACACAAAAAATTTCATCAAAATCGGTCCAGTCGTTTGAGAGAAGTTCAGTGACATACACACTCACAGAAGAATTATATATATAAAGATTTGTCTAGATGTATAGATAACCCAAAATAAAGTAATTAATGTTAAGTTCAAAACTTTTTAGTTGAAAACTTTTTCCACAGTATTATACATACTTTGAATATTATTTCTCAAATATTGATGAAAGTGAATCCTTGAAATGTAGTTAATAATTGCAGGCAAAAAGACGTCGAAGCTCAGGCTTCGTGTCGTACAGACAGCACGGGGAGCAGCTGCTGCACGCCGACATCGCTGCCGGTATGCACTTATAAAGACGACATACACGGACCGCTTCAAGCACTCATTGACAATTTCCTTGTAGTAGCCACTTAAACACACAAAACTTGATACAGTCTGTGTGTACCTTTACTTTCTATATCTTACTTCTTATTAATATTATAAATGCGAAAGTTAAGATGGATGGGTGGTTGTTTGTTTGAAGATATTTCCAGAACGACTTTCGCTGAAATTAAGCATATATAATAAATTTTTTTATCTCTCGCGGACAGAGTCGCGGGCGACAGCTAGTTTATAATAAATCGCTATCAAAGCGCTGCGATAAAATTGTCAATTTGCTAACATTAACATTTAATAGGTTCGAATGTGTGTTTCTCATTATATAAATTTAATTTCATAATTACAGATATAGAAAAGGAAAATATCCCCGAGAACATACAAACACCACGGGAGAGTCAGATGAGTGTAACAGAATTACTCCGTAAGGCGGGTCTCGCGGATATAGAGGTGGGCAAAGTTGATATAGAGACGGGCAGAGTGGACGTAGATGCGGGCAAAGTTAACGTAGAGCTAGGCAGAATTGACGTAGAGGCGGGGAGAACGGTTGAGCCGCTGTCGGAGGTGAACGTGAGGAGGAGCACGCGAAAGACCGGCAGCGAGGATACGGAGACCCCGCTCGGCAGTCTGGACCGCACTAAAGTCTCGCTCGGCGATACAGACACAACTACTGACTCTAAGAAATTTATACGGTATATTGCTTTAACTTATCTTACTAATATTATACATACGAATGTTTACATTGGTAGATGGATGTTTATTATAACAGTAGGTAACTCCAAACAGCTAAACGGATCTCGTTGAAATTTGGCACAGATGTAGAACATAGTCTGGAAGGACACATTCTAAGTTTTTTTAATACAGTGCGGACGGAATCACGGGCGATAGTTAGTTTTTATTATAAAGACAATATTTGGGCTGATACAGCGGGTTCATAAAAGCCATATCCCCCATAGCCATAAAGCTGTGCCCCCCTTTGTTTGCAGTGAGCAGTGGGGCACGGAGGGCACAATGGTGAAGGTGCTGCGCGTGTTGCGGGAGGGGCGCGAGGGTCGGGAGGGTGTCGCGCTGGACGTGGCGCGGCTCGTCACCTCGGGCCCTGTCATACACATGCACAGGAACATCATCATGGCGCGCTGCTTTACATCACTACTCAGTAAATTATTTTTTTAAAGTTGCATATAAAAAGCCATTTGCCTAACTTAGATAAGCGAGTCCATGGGACCGTGATATTTTTATTATATAGGTATTTATATTATTATATAGGTTTCTTGCTTATGGAGGTCGCCCGTCGTGCCACACAATGACTCTCGCCTATCCAGGTTTGACGATAGAACTCCAACGAAAACTGGTTATAAAACATCAAAAGGACCGACAATCAGTCAAAATAACCGATCTTTTTTACTGTTTAAAATAAAAAGGCCCAAATTTCTTGAAATCATTTAATAAAACCGATTGAGTAGTTTTTTCTTCAACCGGAGAACATGAAAATGGACATTAATTTTGTTTTTTTTTTTACTATTTTCAGAATTGAAACAGCACGGCTTTGTGAAATTGAAGAAAGATCCTGATACCTTGTGTATAATAGATATTACTCTGGGACCGAAATTTGAAGAAGTGGACGCAGAATAATTTCTTTAAATTGTCTGATTTGTTATATGTTCTTGAGATTTCTATTTAATTTATTGTAAACGATTTCGTTACTTATTTTTAATAAACTTTATTTTTAAGTCTGTTTTATTTCAATGGTCATACAAGATATTGGTCATTCAATAGTTTAAAAAAAAACACCCCTTGTGTTTGTAGGTTGTGTAAGGGACAATGAAAATCAAAATAAAACGACAAGTTGATATGAACAATTTATTTGAGTAATTTGTATATTATAATGATATGATTTCTGTACAATTTTACACAATAGACAATCAACTAGATCCAAGTCAACTAGAATACATTTATGAGTATCTTAATTTTACATAGGAGTTGCTTAATAATTTACAATTTGTATTAGCGTGGATAGAAGCTGTACAAATATTTACTTACAATAGTTTACACTTCATCTACTTAATTACTGATTTACATAAAATACACTTATATAATAGAGTTGGAATATTTATTGCTAAAAAATTAAATTTAGAACCTTAAAAAGATATTTTCACATAATTAAAAAATATCTTAATACCAAATATACGATTAGGGGCGTCCCTTACCGTGGTAAGCATATCACTATGTCTTTAAAATACAAAATCAGTCTCCTACTATTTGTAACCGAACTTTTGTTATAAATGTTTTTTGTCTTTCCTGTAATCATCTCAATCAATCTTAAAACATAAAGGCAGTCGCACAACACATCAATAGGACGACCGCTTTTGGACGTTTGGTCTTGCTGCATACGAAAAAAATAAGTTATTGTTCACCGTTTTCAATCAAAAGTCCTAGAGAATGACAGAAAGCCTGTCTAACTTCTGCTACCAATTTTTGAGTAATTTTCTCGTATATCAAATACAAAAAAAAACTAAATATGCTTTGAATTGTTAATAATTTTTCTTACATTCTTTAGAAAATCAATTCTAAATAATGACCAATGAATTAAATCAAAGCTTTCCTTTGTCTCACAGCCTCTCTCATACAAACTCACACAATTCAATATATTTATAAATTACAGTCTGGCCGTAATGGCGTAGGAATGAAAATATTTAATTATAAATAGCTACCATTTTCACACATTAAATCTCTCACAACTCGTAATACTTCATACAAAAAGCGCCGCTTATTTCATAGAGAATATGGAAAATATGAACACCCTCTAAACACATACGGGATAGTCGCAATTAAAAAAACAAACGGACCCAGGGAAAATTGCTATTTATCACCGTAAGGGTGAAGTTAGAAATAGAAATAAACGATTTTTTTAGGAAATCTTTTTGTATAAATTTCTTATAACAGTAATAATAATAATAAACATAGTTTTAATGATTATTTTTATATGCAAGGAAGAACAACTAAAGTTATCAAAATGTGACATTATCACAGTTTGCTTGAGACGTCCGGAAGTATGGTGGAATGTTACATTGTTTTCATTATGGAACATGTTTTATGTACACGAAGCTTGCTCTATGCCCACTGCCCCACAATATTTTGATATACAGAATTTTATCATTATTGAAATTTATATGTAATATTTTATAGTAAAAAGCTAGATAATAATATATAAAAATGTTTGAAGTCGGGTATGGTTCTTTAATTTTTATTTCTGTCGAAGTATAAAGGAACCCCAGTGTTTATTCCATAAAATTTAAAAAGTTAAACAAAAAGTACTTTCAAATAGTCAAAAATAAACGTTACAAAAGATTCTTTTATTTGTCGAACTCCGACCAGCGGTCTTCGAAGAATATGAATTCCGCCCCTTGCATTATTGTGAATTTGACTAAATCCCGAATTATTGCATTATATATAAAGCGAAGTACCCGACTTAAAACTTAAAACTCGATTTCACTGCGCCAAAGAATCACTTTCAAAATCTTTGTTTTCCGGTAGTGGATCAGCGTCGTCGATGAAGTCCTGTCCGTAGTTCATGCTCTCGAAGTACTGCTGCGGCTTGCCGTGCCACAGCGAGTCCTCGTGCGAGTTGAGTGACCTCAGAGTTTGGATGTCGATGGAGTCCGCATCCTCGTACAGGATGGAGCGGGTGAGCTCTAGCGCGAGGTTGTGGGGGGCGAGGTCGGCGGGCAGGGGGCGCGTGCGGGGGGCTCGGGGGGCGCACTGGGGGCCCGGGGGGCGCAGCGCGGGCAGCAGGGGGGCGAGGCGCTCCGTGCGCGCCACGTACTCTGCCGCCAGCGACTCGCGCGCACACTCGCTCATCTGCCGGTACAACACTCGCTTACATCACACACACAATACTACCGCGTTACACAACTCATTATTTTCAGCCGCTGACTACAAGCAAACTTTATAGAGATTTTTTTTTTTTGGTCGATAGTAAGTAATTGCTTATAATCAGCAGCTGATAATACGTTTGAAGAAACATTTTTTTTTCAGAATAACTAGTTTTCAGCAATTCGTTTTAATTTTACCATGTTATTTTTGCCACATTATTAACCTTAAAAACGTGCATTTGAAACAATTTTAATCGAAAACATTTCAAATGAATTGAATACACAATAATTTTGTAACTGTAATAGAAAACAAAAAGTAATTTCTATCCAATAAAAGAACATTATAATTATAAAATGCCACACTTAAAAAACACATTCCCATTCACTCGGACATGTGCAAATTCATTCCATAGAAACCAACACGACTTAAATCAACTAGTTTCGATCCTATTCTCAAACTTTATTCTAATAAAAATCAATTACTGTATTTTGTTAATAATAAACAGAAGTGCAAAAGTTATCAAATACACTAATTCTGTATGATGTTGACCAGTTTTCTATTTGCCGTGGACATGTAACAAGATTTTCAACAGTGCGTTTGCGAGTGTTGTGTAAAATTTACCTCTGTGTTTAGCCAATTTGTATTTGTTATGCCACTATGTCAATTAAAAACAAAAAAATAAATATAAAATACCAAAAAAAAAACCAAATACTCAATCTAATTAATACTTTTAGCAATATGTGATATAGTGAATAAATAGATTTACCTTTTCGTAACTACTCAAATAAAGTTTATAGCAAAAGTAATTGCGTTAATTTCAAATAAAAATAATATTACTGTGTTTGTACAATTTCAAAGAAATAATAAAATAAAAATAAGAAAAAATCTATTTAACATAATTTCTACAACAACCTATATACTACAGAAAACAGGCTATTTGTATGCAAAAAAACGTCAAAACAATGAGCAATCATAAAAAATAAAGGCAAGCATAAACAAATGCATAAGTTCCAAATGCACAACGTTACAGTCGAACCTGGAATAGCAATAATCGAAGGGATCGTGACATTTTGTCTTCCTTAGGTTTCTCTCTAACCTGAGTTTCTCGCTTATAGGGGTCTCTCGTTTACCAGGTTCGACTGTATTTGCTTAGAGAGCTAAAGAAATAAACTTAAAGCTAAAATAATTAAGTTATGTCTAATTAGCAATTTTACAATGAAAATACATGTGGAATTGTGTTATATAAATATATGAAAATTTACAATGATCGTGACACATTATGTATGAACGACTTTAAGCAAGAAATATACATTGGTTATTGTTAAAATTCAATGTTTATTTCCAGCTCGAGTCATTATTGGTTAGATGATATGTTTTATATGACAATAAATTCATTTTGTGTGTATTATTCACGTACATACAACATTAAAGCCATCACAATGTTAATTACTAACAAATAAACAAGTAGGTATCATGCTCACTAACTAAGCGACCGACCGAGAGTAACGTGACATGGGGTGATCCTGATTTAAATCGTACAAGTAATTTGTTTATTATTTATTTGGTAACAAACACAATAAATAAGTAGGGTTCTTATAAATCGGGACATCCCATGCAATCATGAATGAAAATAATCCTTAATCCGGTTAAACAATTGACCGTCGAACTGAACCGATAAAAAATTAAACTTAACAAAAATATAATTGATAATGAAAAACGAAAAGAAAACGTAAAGAAACTTACGATCGACATAATGGCATAGCGGGCGGCGCGCGGCGACGACCGACACCGGGCGTTAGTGAGTCACTGGTGCACTGTCACACGGTGGGTTTATTAGGTTTATTAGCACTTTGGGATGGAACGTTTCGAGGGGCCGGGTTTAGTTTTACGAGGTCGAGTCTTTGAAGGGGAACCAGTTCCACAATGTTCTGAGGCGAACCTTGTCGTGGGAGGGCGTGCGGCGGACGGGGAGGCCGGAGGGCTCGTCGCGCGGCGCAGTGCCGGGTGCGGGGGCGGGGGTGCGGACGCGCGCCGAGTGGCCGGAGCGCACGGAGCGCGCCGAGTGCACCGAGTGCGCCGAGTGGGCGGAGGGCGGGCGCGGCTCGGCGGCGGGCGGGCGCGGCGCGGCGGCCTTGTGCGGCGTGTGGCGCGGGATGCGGCTGGGCCGGCGGCGCGGTGTCTGCGACAGCCGCTCCTCCTCCTCCTCGTGCTCGTGCCCCTGCCCCCGCCCCGACTCGGGCTCAGGCATGGCGAGCGGCTGCATGTCGCGCATGCTGCTGTGCAACTCGCCCGAACTCCGCCGCCCCTCCAGCAGCCGCACGCGAGCTCGCGCGCCTTCCAGTTCTATGCTCTTCTCCTCCAACTGAAAATCGACAAGTTCATCTTCAAAAAAAAAAGAATAATGGAAGGAGTCTGCATTCTTTTCGAAGGGTTTACACCCGATTCATGTCTGTACTTCATGTATTATATGTTTACACTATGCTATAATTTCTGACGCTACTCACTCGGAACTTGAGGTCTTCGTTGAGTTCGTTGGCGCGCTCGAGTCTCTCGAGCAGCAACGTCTTCTGCTCCGCGGCGCGTTTCAATTGCTCGCAGTACACCTGAAAATATAACCACACACGTAATACTACTATTCTAATCATCATGTAATCATCTAACATGCTATATAGATATAGTCGAACGGGGAGATTCCTAGGGACGGAAGTTTCTCCCTTATGGAGGTTTACCCATAAGCGACGAACGGGCACAGTAAAGAATATAGAAGAGAGATCTTTATCAACGGTGCGATTCATTCACATAACATGAACTTGCTTAGTCTTTATTTATTTATTATTCAACTATAGATTAACCGCTAAATAAACGTGGGTAAAGTTAATAAGGTAACCATAACATTGCGGTGAATTTCACAATACCCTATTGTAGAGCACGGTCAGCGACAGATAAAAAAAATGTGTTTATAAAATACGAAATACAAGGCGAAGTAGCCACTAAAATGCAAATAGACACTCTTACAGCAATAATGGCGTACAAGTCACTTATCGGGCCCGAATGACGACCTTCTGTTGCAGGGAGCGTACGTGAGGTGTGTCGTGTTTTTGTGACCAAGCAGTTTATACTAAAATGCTGCTTCAAATTATAATCTTTTTGATATATCCGTAACATATTGATAATAGTTAAGTATAAATTTACTTAAAGTGTTTAATGTTTTTAAATAGTCTTATTGTCTTAAATTACGCTGGGCGATGTCTTGATTTCAAAAGCTATGACAATCACTAAAGACTTCATGGCTTAAAATTATCAGCATGTGAAAGTTGAGAAATGATTGCATGCCGAGTTGCTTCCAACCACGTGACGTCATTCAATTGTTGTTGATTCGACCTTCTTATGTCTTGATAATCCTCGATTAGATAATGGGCAATTCTCTCTCTTTAATAAAATCAATGAGTCAAAGATATCCTTCTTGTTGACTTTATTCGTGTATAAACAACTACCACATGTAAACAGTGCAAATATAATACATATGTATGAAGAGTGTTTCTTTATGTTCTAGCAGTAAGAAGTCACGGTTTAGATGAGTAGAGAATAATCGATAAGAGTATTATTTAGAAGCAGAAAAACAAACTGAAACAGTAACACACCAACCTGATTTTGTACTGTAAAGGAGAGGAGTTGGCGCTGAAGTTCGACGGGATTGCTCTCCTGGAGAATCGCCGTGAATTTCTTGGAGTCTGGTCGGGGCACAAGCGGCGTCCGCGGGGGGCGCTGCAGTGGCGTGTCCAGTCGTCCTAGGCAGGCGGGCGAAGGGGGCGCAAGGCTTGTGGATGGCGCGGGCGGGGGTGGTGGTGCCGCGCTGGCGAGTGCTGCCGCCGCCTCCAGTTGCGCGGCACGAGCCAAAAGCGCATCCCGCTCCTCCCTCAGCCGCACGAGGTCCGTGCACTCCCCGCAGCCGCCGGACAGTGCACGGGCGAACGACTCCTCCGTAGTCTCGGACCGCCTCTCGTCCAGCTCGCCCCGGAGCAATTCCGCCTCGTCCCGTATCCGGATGCCCTTCCGTTGGATGGTGTCAAGCAGAGCCCACAGCTCATCTTCGACCGGACGCGAGCGCGTGGCGGTCGCTGATGCGGAGGCGGAGGCGGAGGAAGAGTGCGCGTCTTTGCCGCAGGAGGTCTCTGTGCTGAAGCCGGAGTCCTGCACGGAGGGCTGCGGCTTGCGGCCATCGCTGGCGCCGGCCAGCTTGCGGCGCACGCGCACTCCGGGTTCCCACTCCCTGCGCGCGCCCGTTGGCGCCGAGGGCGACATCTTGGAGCGCAGGTTGGGAAACGTCTCGATGACGAGGTCGCGGAACTCAAGCAGGGCTCCGACCTCATTCTGGAGCTCCTGCAATACATCAACAAATACATGTTTAAACGCTATACACATACAAACTACGTTGATGTTTTATTTAAATTATAGACATACCGAAATTGCACGTTAATTCTTTTAATGTTTAGAGAACTAGAGATCTAGAGTAACCGCTGGTCTCCCTCCATCCTTTTGTAATATATGCTTATCGTGCTTAAGACAAAATAAAGCAATAGGTAGGCAGCATACCTGCAAAGCGACGAAGGACTTAGCCTGCTCCGAGATGAGGTAGTGGAAGGGGCCGGGCTGCGCGCGCAGCTGCAGGCAGTCCATGCCCGAGCCCGACCCGCCCGAGCCGCCCGACCCGCTGTCCGCGCCGCCCGTCTGCAACACAACACACCACATTCTAATACACCAATACATATTCTAAGAAAACAAATTCATCACAATACAGGGAAAAACAGTTTACAAAAAAGTTTGAGTAGAGGTGACAAACTCTACGTTTAGGAATTCATAATTCAGATCGTAAATTATGGAGCAAAAGATGCAAAAGTCGTCATGTACATTTCAAATAATGTGGAATGTCTTGTGCGAAATCAACTTTGAGGATTACATTTCAAGCGAATCCGTATGTTCGTATTCGCTTTACGAAAAATGTATAAATTAGTTACAAAAATTTTAAAACATATTTTATATTTTTAACTAAACTGTAGTTTTGGAACCACGCGAAATAAACACCGAAAAACAATTCTAACTTTCACAAATGTCCATGAAAAGCAATTTAATCTTTATTTTATGTTTAGCGTTACATTTATAGGTTTAATCTTAATACTGTTAACCGTAACGAAGAAACGTTAACTCAAAGCACTTAAATTGAAATCCCTTTAATATCGTCATGGATTGGAATCCAATTACAAAATTACTTGAAAATATCCGTCGAATTGCGATCTCGCTGGAAAAAAAACAAATCAATCGGTAAAGTTGCGTGTATTCTAATTAAATCCTATTGGAAAAATAAAAAAAAAACAATTAAGATTACAAAATAGAAATAAAATAAATTTAATATAAACCACAAACAAACAATATTTTTGTTAGTACACGTGCACTCATGCGACCTCTATTAACACTTAACGACCTCCCGTTTTCTTTTGTGCACATTTTTTTATATTCACCCTAAACGAAAACAATTCCATCGCTTAAACAGTAAATGAGTCTTTTATAAAATATATTTTTAATGAGGTGCTTTTGTAAACAGACGAGCAAAATTAATTTTTAAATAACAGTGCATCGCAATTAATTTTATCATCTCGTTAAAAGCATAAAGTTACAAGTTACGGTAGCGAGGTACAGTCAGGTACATATATCAGTTTACTACGTTAAAGCGTGAATCGATATAGTAAAATAGGAAATACATTTAAATATATGTAGTGTAGCCTATATTTATTTGGGCTTACTTCTTCTACAGAAAAAAGATCGACATAAATATTTTATTTTTCGACCTAAGTTTATTGCGTTTATAATGTAACTACGTTTTATCTGAGAATCTTCTATAAGCCAATCCTAACGCAAAACTGATTATCGATAAAACATTTGAACTTGAAGCAATTAATCAAAAAGCACTTTTATCGTCGAATGTATCGGAGTACTGCAGCTGCTCAGTAAAGTGGGTGCAAGTGGTGTCGCAGTGTCCACGGGCCGGAAAATTGTCGCACGGCCGACTGCGCACGCCCCGGACATTGTTCCTGCGCGGGCGCATTGTGAATGTGCGCACAAAAATATCTCTAAGTGTGAACTAAACGGTTTGTTTCACATTGAGTCTTCACTGGCGTAACACATGTATTGAAACAATATTGCTATCCCTCTTATCGATATTATTTTCGTATAAAGATGTCGGTCAAAAACGCAACACACTACATGAGAACGCTGAAGCGATAGTTTTGTCACAAAATTATTCAATCAGTAAAACATCAGACTTAATTATCTTTCGATTTCCTTACTAATATAATTAAAGTTTATTGGAACGTTAAATTATAAATTATACCGTTTAATTGTGCTCGGAGAACAAAAGACTTTACTTTTCCATTACTACTGAAACTTCGCCATTGCATAACCGTTGTAATGAATTATTTATTAAAAGAAAGTAATGTATTCCAGCAACAAAACAGTAATAGATTTAATATTTTTTATTTTGCTCAGGGGTGTGTCGATAAGTGTTATTCATTGTATTGTTAATTTATTTATTGTTATTGTACAGCCCTAAGTACATCAGGTGCCGACCGTAAGCACAGTTACATAGTATTTTCTCAAAATAACGATTTAAATTTTACTTTTAATTTATTGTTTTTCGTGTAGGTCTTTGTAACCAAAACCACTTTGTTGGTGGAAATAAATAATATTATTAAACAATTGTTGGATCGTACGTCTATTGTTTAAGTTTATTCAAAGCAATGTAATAAGTCAAGACTGTAATTAATTTCAAAACTTAGCAGCGTTCCCAATGTTTGGGTTGTAAATTGGAACCGCTTTGACGAACAACGATGTCTAACTGAGACTTGCAAGGTTTATTAGCGATTTGAACAGAATTACGAGTTATTACAGCGGCAATTTCTTAACTAACCCAACATTATTAACCTCAAAAACCTTCCTGCAAAACCCATCGATGATAATTACAGAGTATTTTATAATAGAAAGTACAGTAAATCATGAACAGGTAGACTGCGGTTTTACCTAAAATTGTCAGTGCAAATCTTTCGTTAAGTAATCTGTGATATATATTATTCCATTAATTCGCTATCAACCTGTCTTTATACCTACGGAGGATCGGCGCAGTACTACTCCACCATACATCTCTATCATCGTCATATCTGAATCCACCTCCTTACGCATATCCTCTTTCACACAATCCATCCATAATTTATTTGGTCTTCCTCTACCTATGTAGCCATCTACATTCAATCTCATTACCTTTATGTTTGATCACCATCCTTCAAAATTTTTTGAAAATGAAAAAAAAAAATCTTTCAAAATTTAACAGGACTACAATTACTCTTAGTAGACTGTAATCTGTCTTCCAATCGTATATTCTATTAACCGTGTTATTCAATCACTGTAACGTGTAAGTAGTGAACTGTTAACTGCTCTAGAACGTTGCGTCAAATTAACCACATTGTGTACGACCTAATTTCTGAGTGATATTTAAATTGTCAAGATCCTATTGTCATCCCATGCAATCGAACGTATAAAAACATACTTCTTAACACCACATCTGGTAAACAATGAGAAGGTTCCAATAGCCACAGTCACAAACAGACACTTTCAAATCTCAATAAGATGTCGACAATAACATAGAAAGAGTACATCGTTTTTATAAACAAGTCAAGTCGATGTTTCTTAAAGTAAGCACCATCTCTCCCAATCGTGTTAAGCTCTCAATGTACACGTAATTGTAGCTATGTTAGCTATGTTGTTATGCTCAAAAAAATTAACTTTGTATGTAAAAGTCCAATAAATTTTATTTAAAAAGAACAATCCTCTAAGAAACATAAAGTCCCATCTTTTATTTAGCTGTAAAAACGTAAAAGTAACGCCTTACTGTACTCGAAATAAAATTACACCAAATATGGATTGGATCCGATTGGATCTCAGAGTCACTGGTGGAAAGGGAAACTAAAAATGCTTTATCATCAATATGTATAACGGAATGTCGGTAACAAATTCTACAAAACATTTCCTTTATCAGAGATAACAGGACTGTAATGCCGATGACACATCATAAGTGCTGATAAGATTTTGTGTACAGTTTTTAAAGATATACAGCTACAAACACTAGTACAATCAGCAAACATTGTGTTGTCTACTATTAGTGAGATCTGTGGACCTAACACGAAAATTTGTGACAAGCGCCATCGTATCGTGATTGTCAAAATTTGTATTCAGTCCAGCGTAAAGTACACCAAAAATTTCTTACAAATTTTGACATAGTTGACGATGACGATACGAATGTGCATGTCGCAAATATTCGTGTTAGTCCCACTATACACGTTACTCATTAAAGAATCTCAAAAATTCATAGATTTCTATGGCAGATCAGGACTTATTATCAATCTCAACTATTCATTGTGGATTTTACGGCTGGTTATGAACTTAATATATGAAAACTTTTTTATAGACTTTTAAAGTAATGCAATTGAGGTCGTTGAAACTTGCTCAATTAAGCGTGTCTCGAGGTCCTTAAGTTATCTTAACAGCGAGACATTATGAATAAACATACTGACCCGTGCTACCGTGCAGTTATTACGTACTTCCTCATTAAAAGTGTTTTAACAAAGTCGCATTTCATTTCGTAATATTTGTCACATCGCGTAATGGCATGAATATTTAACAAAACAAAAAACCCGTTTCACTTAAAGATGTTTATTTTATAAATGAAAAAGAATTACAAAATATTATCGGTCATAAAACATAATTACTATTTAGCAATACAAGATAGGGAATTTACTCTCATCTACGAAAAATCTTAATGATATTAGCTTAAAACTATTTTTATACGATACTTTCGCAAATTGGATAATAGTTTTCACTAAAAAAATATTACGAAATGTGCAAGCGCTTCGGAATAATACAAGGTGATATATTATACATTCATACTTACAGATTCAAAGTTTTGGAAACTGGATCAATTGAAACTTGTATATTTTGAGTTATAAACGTTTAAAATGTACACATAACTTTAGTAGAATAATATTAATTTTTAACGTTGAATTTACACTACTTTAAATAATAAAATACATCCATATTTTTTTATTTTCTTAATTAACTACGAAGTTACAAACATGCGCAGTCGCAACAAACAATTCCAGTTACTCGAAACCCGTTTAGGGGGAAGTCTATGTGAGTCATCTTGTAATGATTCTTTCGACACGCGGTTGCTTACTTTTTGCGAACGCAAACCGTCAAATGATTGCGAACATGAAAACTGGCAAATTTACGTTCAAATCTCGAAAGGCGCGAAAGCGTGATACGTAATTAATGACCATTGTTGATGACGCTATCGTTGTTGTTTTACAAAATGGTGCAATTATTGAAAAAAATACTTTTATGGACAGTATCTGGAACTTTAGTATGGTTTAAGCACTTGGATTGTAGATTACAGAAGTACTTCGAGTCGAATCCCGGCCATGTATCAAAGTGCTTTTCAATCTGCATATATCTGAAATGTAATTCAAAAGCATAAAATCAACTAATCCGCATTGGCCTGGCGTAGTAGTAGACTAAGGCTTAGATAAGTTAGGTACGGTAATTAGGTAACATTAGGTAAGCTTTAGCTCCTCTTTGGGACTAACATATTAGGAATGTAGGAAAAACTTTCTGAGATATAATTCCCG